ATCAATGGATGATTGCCTAATTACAAAAATACACTGTATTTACGCTAAAAGTGCTCTATTTGCGCTGAAAACGCTAAATCTTAGAGATAAGGCTAAGTATTTGTGACACTCATATCTTGCTGTGTGTTTATTCGTTTGGAGCGTATTATATCTCGTTGGAAAGATAGATCGGAGCTCTAAAGCTATTGTTCCAACTTCATTTACAATGCATTCATTAAAAGTTACAGATTAACCATATATTCACAAATGTTTCTGATTTCACTCTGAACTCGTGTAGAATTTTGTACGATCATATCTTGCTCTAATTTGTGCCGTTGAAAGCCTTTAATATCTCGTTGGAAAGATCTTACCGAGTTCTAAAACTTGTCTTCAGGCGCTGGTTTGAAAATATCAAGGGATGATTGCCTAATTACTAAAATACACTGTATTTACGCTAAAAGTGATCTATTTTCGCTGAAAACGCTAAATCATAGAGATGAGGTTTAGTATTTGTGACACTCATATCTTGCTGTGTGTTTATCCGTTTGGAGCGTATTATATCTCGTTGGAAAGATAGATCGGAGCTCTAAAGCTATTGTTCCAACTTCATTTACAATGCATTAATTAAAAGTTACAGATTAACCATATATTAAAAAATGTTTCTGATTTCACTTCGAACTCGTGTAGAATTTGATGCGATCATATCTTGCTCTATTTTGTGCCGTTGAAAGCATTTAATATCTCGTTGGAAAGATCTTACCGATTTCTAAAATGTTTATTCAGGCACTGGTTTCAATATATCAAGGGATAATTGCCTAATTAATAAAATACACTGCATTTACGTTAAAAGTGCTCTAATTTCGCTGAAAACGCTAAATCATAGAGATAAGGCTAAGTATTTGTGACACTCATATCTTGCTATGTGTTTATCCGTTTGGAGCGTATTATATCTCGTTGGAAAGATAGATCGGAGCTAAAAATAATAATAATAATAATAATAATAATAATAATAATAATAATAATAATAATAATAATAATAATAATAATAATAATAATAATAATAATAATAATAATAATAACAACAACAACAACAACAACAATAATAATAATAATAATAATAATAATAATAACAATGATAACAATGATAACAATGAAAACAATAATATATCTGGTCACAAATACTTAGCCTTATCTCTATGATTTAGCGTTTTCAGCGAAATTAGAGCACTTTTAACATAAATGCAGTGTATATTATTATATAGGCAATTATCCCTTGATATATTGAAACCAGTGCCTGAATAAACATTTTAGAACTCGGTAAGATCTTTCCAATGAGATATTAAATGCTTTCAATGGCACAAAATAGAGCAAGATATGATCACATCAAATTCTACACGAATTCGGAGTGAAATCAGAAACATTTGTGAATATCTGGTCAATCTGTAACTTTTAATTAATTCATTGTAATAGAAGTCAGAACAATAGCTTAAGAACTCCGAACTATCTTTCCAACGAGATATAATACGCTCCAAACGGATAAACACACAGCAAGATATGAGTGTCACAAATACTTAGCCTTATCTCTATGATTTAGCGTTTTGAGGGAAAATAGAGCACTTTTAGCGTAAATACAGTGTATTTTAGTAATTAGGCAACAATCACTTGATTTTTTGAAACCAGCGCCTGAAGACAAGTTTTAGAACTAGGTAAGATCTTTCAAACGAGATATTAAACGCTTTCAACGGCACAACAAAGAGCAAGATATGATCGCATCAAATTCTACACGAGTTTGGAGTGAAATCAGAAACATTTGTGAATATATGGTGAATCTGTAACTTTTAATTAATGCATTGTAAATGAAGTTGGAACAATAGCTTTAGAGCTCCGATATATCTTTCCAACGAGATATAATACGCTCCAAACTGATAAACACTCAGCAAGATATGAGTGTTACAAATACTTAGCCTTATCTCTATGATTTAGCGTTTTCAGCGAAAATAGAGCACTTTTAGCGTAAGTACAGTGTATTTTAGTAATTAGGCAATGCTCCCTTGATATTTTGAAACCAGATCCTGAAGACAAGTTTTAGAAATCGGTAAGAGCTTTCCAACGAGATATTAAACGCTTTCAACGGCACAAAATAGAGAAAGATATGATCGCATCAAATTCTACACGAGTTCGGAGTGAAATCAGAAACATTTGTGAATATATGGTTAATCTATAACTTTTAATTAATGCATTGTCAATGAAGTTGGAACAGTAGCTTTAGAGCTCTGATCTATCTTTCCAACGAGATATAATACGCTCCAAACGGATAAACACACAACAATCTCTATGATTTAGCGTTTTCAGCGAAAATAGAGCACTTTTAGCGTAAATACAGTGTATTACTATTTTTGATACTATTATTATTATTATTATTATTATTATTATTATTATTCTTATTATTATTATTATTATTATTATCATTATTATCATTATGATTATTATTATTATTATTATTATTATTATTATTATTATTATTATAATAATAATAATAATAATTATTATTATTATTATTATTATTATGATTATTATTATGATTTTTATTATTAGTATTATTATTATTATTATTATTATTATTATTATTAGCTCCGATCTATCATTCCAACGAGATATAATACGCTCCAAACGGTTAAACACACAGCAAGATATGAGTGTCACAAATACTTATCCTTATCTCTATGATTTAGCGTTTTCAGCGAAAATAGAGCACTGTTAGCGTAAATAAAGTTTATTTTAGTAATTAGGCAATCATCCCTTGATATTTTGAAACCAGCGCCCAAAGACATGTTTTAGAACTCGGTAAGATCTTTCCGATGAGATATTAAATGCTTTCAATGGCACAAAATAGAGCAAGATATGATCGCATCAAATTCTACACGAGTTCGGAGTGAAATCAGAAACATTTGTGAATATCTGGTCAATCTGTAACTTTTAATTAATTCATTGTAAATGAAGTTAGAACAATAGCTTTAGAACTCCGATCTATCATTCCAACGAGATATAATACGCTCCAAACGGATAAACACACAGCAAGAAATGAGTGTCACAAATACTTAGCCTTATCTCTATGATTTAGCGTTTTCAGGGAAAATAGATCACTTTTAGCGTAAATACTGTGTATTTTAGTAATTAGGCAATAATCACTTGATGTTTTGAAACCAGCGCCTGAGGACAAGTTTTGTAACTCGGTAAGATCTTTCAAACGAGATATTAAACGCTTTCAACGGCACAACAAAGAGCAAGATATGATCGCATCAAATTCTACACGAGTTTGGAGTGAAATCAGAAACATTTGTGAATATATGGTTAATCTGTAACTTTTAATTAATGCATTGTAAATGAAGTTGGAACAATAGCTTTAGAGCTCCGATCTATCTTTCCAACGAGATATAATACGCTCCAAACTGATAAACACTCAGAAAGATATGAGTGTTACAAATACTTAGCCTTATCTCTATGATTTAGCGTTTTCAGCGAAAATAGATCACTTTTAGCGTAAATACAGTGTATTTTAGTAATTAAGCAATCATCCCTTGATATTTTAAAACCAGCGCCTGAAGACAAGTTTTAGAACTAGGTAAGATCTTTCCAACGACATATTATACGTTTTCAACGGCACAAAATAGAGCAAGATATGATCACATCAAATTCTACACGAGCCATGTTTTTTAAAATGGTAAGAGCTTTCCAACGAGATATTAAACGCATTCAATGGCACAAAATAGAGAAAGATATGATCGCATCAAATTCTACACGAGTTCAGAGTGAAATCAGAAACATTTGTGAATATATGGTTAATCTGTAAGTTTTAATTAATGAATTGTAAATGAAGTTTGAACAATAGCTTTAGACCTCAGATCTATCTTTCCAACGAGATATAATACGCTCCAAACGGATAAACACACAGCAAGATATGAGTGTCACAAATACTTAGCCTTATCTCTATGATATAGCGTTTTCAGAGAAAATAGAGTACTTTTAGCGTCAATACAGTGTATTTTAGTAATTGGGCAATCATCCCTTGATATTTTGAAACCAGCGCCTGAAGACAAGTTTTAGAAAATGGTAAGATCTTTCCAACGAGATAATAAACGCTTTCAATGGCACAAAATAGAGCAAGATATGATCGCATCAAATCTACACGAGTTCGGAGTGAAATCAGAAACATTTGTGAATATATGGTTAATCTGTAACTTTTAATTAATGAATTGTAAATGAAGTTGGAACAACATCTTTAGAGATCCGATCTATCTTTTCAACGAGATATAATACGCTCCAAACGGATAAACACACAGCAAGATATGAGTGTCACAAATACGTAGCCTTATCTCTATGATTTAGCGTTTTCAGCGAAAATAGAGCACTTTTAGCGTAAATACAGTGTATTTTAGTAATTAGGCAATCATCCCTTGATATTCTGAAACCAGCGCCTGAAAACATGTTTTAGATCTCGGTAAGATCTTTCCAACGAGATATTAAACAATTTCAACGACACAAAATAGAGCAAGATATGATCGCATCAAATTCTACACGAGTTCGGAGTGAAATCAGAAACATTTGTTTATATATGGTTAATTTGTAACTTTTAATTAATGCATTGTAAATGAAGTTGGAACAATAGTTTTAGAGCTCCGATCTATCTTTCCAACGAGATATAATACGCCCCAAACGGATAAAGACACAGCAGGATAGGAGTGTCACAAATACTTAGCCTTATCTCTACGATTTAGCGTTTTCAGCTAAAATAGAGCACCTTTAGCGTAAATACAGTGTATTTTAGTAATTAGGCAATAATCCCTTGATTTTTTGAAACCAGCGCCTGAAGACAAGTTTTAGAACTCGGTATGATAAGAGCCTGAAGAAACCGAGGAGGGAGAAGTTGAGAGCGTCTCTCTCTAGCCATTCGCGGCTAGACTTTTCCCCTCACGGTTTTTCTTCAGGTCGGCACCACCACACACGGCGGCCGCCGTCGCCAGGGCCCTCCTGGCTCCGGCGGGTCTGAGGTTCCATGGTTACAGTTCAACTTAGGGATGACCTATGAGTTTTTTGAAACTTCGTGCAACCGGAAAGGAGGGCTAGAATTGCAACAGCCACCACCGTCTCCATTGATGGTCATGGTGATGTGTCTGGTTACGTTCCCAACTTGGAGGGGTTTGACTTGTACGATTCTGGATATGGGGATGGATGGTGGTCTGGAGAACTTTTTGAGAATCCTGGAAGGTTTGTCATTTGGGGAGCTGATAGCCGGAGAAGACGACTGGGGGGATTGGTGCGACTACAAGGCCTTCTATGTGTTATTCTCTGGTAAGGAATTCTTTATGTGTATTTTACTTAGAAAGCAACCTGGGGTCGACGGAGAAGACCACCGTACTGCTGGGGTTGGAACCGCTGGGTGCTACTTTTCGTCCGGCTACTGTCCTACTGCCCTCTAACACTACCTACCATTGCCGTTTGGGGTCGCCGGGGTCAAGCGGGGGTGGGGGTGAAAGGGGGGTTACCGGTTGGGCTTGGTTACATTTCCGGCTGTTTTATGTTTGTTCTATCTCTGTTCTCTGGCCACTGGAAAGCCTGGTTGACGCTGGAGCCAGGTGGGGGTGTCTGGAGGGGGAGGGTGTTTTGGATGACAGTTTTGCCGGAGAAGAGGAACGGGGGCTCTGAAGCGATTACAGGGTGACCAGAGATGATCTTCGAGGTTGTGTGACGTTCTGGTTGCGTTAAGTTTTCCTGAAAGCGTTTTGGGTTTCGCCGGGGATAACCACCGTCGTGCTGGGGTTGGAACCGCCGGACGCTACTTTCCCGGCTGGTTACGCACTCTATTACTCTCCTGCCTGACCGCCGGGAAGCCACCGGGACCTGGTGGGGAAGGGGGAAGTGGGTGGTCACGAGCGAGCGTGACGGATCTGGATTCTTTGGCTACTTGTGACCGTCTGGTACTCGCCGGCGACGGCAATCAATAAGTCAACGGCCACTGACTGATGGCATTGATTGGACGGCCTGACACCTGTCGGTTACTGTAGCAACACGTGGGTTCGAATTTGAAATTGGGGGCTTACTGCTGCGGCGCTGGGATGGATGCGATGAGCTGTTGGGCTGATCTTTCTAAACCCTAGCCCGAATGCTGGGATGTGCATAGGTATTGGGCTTTTTTGTGGACTTCGCTGCTGCTGGTTTTTGGGCTTTACTGCTGCTGCTAGTTTGTGGGCTGCGCTGCTGCTACTGATTTTGTGAGCTTCGTTGCTAGCTGTTGGTCCCGGTTATACTGGATACAGTCTAGAGGGGGGGGGGGGGTGAATAGACTGTATTGGTTTTTAGCTTTTCAAACTAAGTACCAGATTTTAAGAATAGTCTGTTCTGTTGAAAGAACAGACTGGCAGCGGATGGGGTTCCGGCAGGGAGTTCTGTTAGCCTCAGAGAAGCAAAGGCAGAAGGCCTTCTGTTAACTCGTAGAACCAGTTCTGCTGAACACAGATACCAAGTCCAAGGAGTTATACAGTTCTATCTAAGTGCAAGTATTAAAAGCAGTAAGTAAACGACACCAGGGATTTTTATAGTGGTTCAAGGAACAACTCGTTCCTCTAATCCACTGTTCCACTAAGCTGTAAAAACTGCCGTTTACAAAGCCTTAGTCCTAGCACTTAAGAAGCACTCCACGTCTTCTTCAAGCCTAGATGTGTCCTGGGATGCACTGCCTGGCTTCCTTTAACACTGGTCCTTTCACTGAGTCTCTTTGAAGTATCACCACTTCACTACTCCAGTTATTTGGACGTCCTTCTTGTAGCAAGAAGAGTTTCTGTTGAAACTGAGGTTCCTCCAACTAGCTTCGTTACAAAATATGTGTATGTGAGGAGCTTGAAGAGTTGAAGAACACTTGGAACTTTGCTTGAGTTGGAAAGAGTATTTTTCCAACTTCTGCCTTCTCTTGTAGAGGATAATAAGTTTGAATCTCAAGGAGGCTTTTGCTTTTCAGAGTTTGAATATCTTGCTTGGTTAGCAATGTGATAGCAAGCTTATAGCAAAGTTGTCCGGTTGTTCTTCGTAGTGTATCTTTTATACTGAGGTTGTCTTCCCTTTGGTGGAGTAGGAGGACAACTGCATTAAATGAGCGATCAGTTGACTTGACTAGTAGAGCCCGGTAAGGTTGGCGGGTTACTATTTTGGGATAAAGTATTCCTGACATTCCGGCCAATCATCTGCAATTACTCTACGTAGCATGGGGTGCATTAAATGAGCATTTAATGCATGTACTGTAGCTTTTCCGTTTTATACTCCTAGCCGTTGAAGGAATCTTTAAGTTGACTTCCCGGTTCTTTGAAAATCTTCTAAGTGTCAGACCTTCTGGTGTCTTTGTCTGAGAGTAGAACAGAGGAGGTCTGGAGCACTTCTGTTGGGAGTATCCAACAGAGACCCAGAAGGGTTTCTGTCAGAGTCAATACTAACAGAGGTCCTGAGGACTTCTGTTCTGGAGCAGAGAACCAAGGGTCCTCTGTTTCAATAAAGCCTTAAGAAGCACTTCTGCTCTGGGAGCCCTTCTGTTCTTGAAGCACTTCTGTCAAGTCGAATACATCTAAGAATTTTACAAAGGAAAATTCTAATACATAATTTCTAAAGGGGGTACTTCTAAAGTCCTAATGAATATAGCATCATCAAAATCTAAATACAATTATTCCTTACAATTTCCCCCTTTTTGATGATGCCAAAACCCTTTAACTATTTCCAGAGAAGTGCCTTCACCATAAAAATATTAAGTTTAAAAACTTCCATTAAAATCTTGGTGGGCAACTTGGCATAGGAAAATAGTAAGAGTAAGATACATTCAGATAGCAGAATATAACAGAAATAAACAAACACAAACAGAAGGCACAAAGACAAGAATTTGAGGAAAAGCACTTCAAAGTAAGAAGGTAGAGATGTGATTTTATTAGATAGATATTACAGAGTTTAAGCCTTACACATTCTCCAGATTAGCTGCCTGTAGAGCTTCTTCCTCTAGTCTTTGAAGCCTGAGCAGTTCTTCATTTATTTCAGCTCTGATTCTGAACAGATTGCCCGACCTTTGATAAGATGCCCATATTGGAGAGAGTTTGCAGTCCAAGTAGTTGAGGACACCTTCATGTACAGTCTTGCCAGGGACAATGTTCTTCTTGTACCATTCTTCTGCTTCTTCAAGAGATCCTCCATACCTAACTCTGACAACACCATCTTTGTCTAGATAAAGGTGCTGTTGTTGGGTAGGAGTCATTTTGGCTTTCATTTCCTCAAATTGGGCTCTGTCAATATTCTGAGAGCCACCCAATCTCCATTCAGTAAAGTTGAAAACTTTCTTCTTCTTGGTGCTCTTCTTGACTGGAGATGGGGGTCTTGGTATGCCTGCTGCCCTTTTCTTTTGTAAGGCAGCTTCAAAGTAGGGAGCCGGATCTACTGCAGGCTCACCAGAGGAGGGTGCTCTGGTAGGAGTTCTGTGAGACCTAGGCCTGGTCTGTTGAGGGTCCTCTTCCCCCTTTTTGGCATCATTCAAGTCTTCTATCATAAGACTGATCTTCTGGAATTCTGATGCTTGGGTTGAGGCTATCTGCTCCAGGGCCTCTGGTAATGTCTGAGTGACAGATGTAAGGCCTTCAATCAGACCTTGCTGCTTCTGGATTGCAGAGAAGATGTCCTTGTTGTTGGCTTCAAGGAGCACCATCTTCTGATACCGGTCTCTGTCAGTAGATAGGAGGGCTTGAGCCTGTTCTTGATGAGTTCTGCACATCTGCTCAATAGAGGTCAAGTGCCTCTCTGCTCTGGCATCAGATTTCTTCAGAGCCTCAAGATGCTATGAGATATGGTGGATTGCCTGTCCTTGACTCAGGAGAGTCTGTTGAAAGATTGACAAAGTGTTGTGGATGCCTACCACTTCTGTTGACAGGACATCTGTTCTGGCAGTTGAGGAGGCGATGAAGTTGTTGAGGGTCCCAGTGAGGTTCTCAAAGCGGTCAGAGATGAACTGCATCCCTGAATTCAGATTGTCATTCACATGAGCAAGATGCCCATAGTGCTTATCATTTATCTCTATCAGCTTGTCCAAGCCTTGGAGGATCTGTCCTCCAAATGCTTCTGCAGATTCAACAAACTTGTTGAAGGGAATGTCATTCTTTTGTCCATCTGCTTGAGGCATCTCTAGACCTCTTCCCCTAGGTAGTGGGTGCTGTTCTTGGACAGATGACAGAGAGTGAACAAGCTGTTCATGTTCCAGTTGAGTCAGAGGAGGGGTCTTCTGTCTCTTGGATGTGGCCTTGTATGATTTGCTGATCATGAATCCATCCATGTCAGAGGATATCTCATATGGAGAGTAGATGGGTTTTCTGTTGCGAACCACTTTCTTCTTCTTTCTCAGAGAGGGATTGGGAGCAACAGAGTCCCTAGAATACCCTTTGGGTGCAGAGATGGGGGAGATAGTTGTAGGATCTGAGTCTCTTAGGAACCATACAGGTTTTAGGTTTCCTGCAGGTTGTTGTGGAGGAGGTGATTCTGGTGGAGGAGAATGATGATCAGATTCTGATGAGGAAGAGGAGGAGGTGATCTGTTGGGGTGAGGGGTTCTGGTGTTGGGGTGAGGAGTGAATAGGTGAGGCATTCTGGTGAGGGGGTGATGGGGGAGGTCAAGGTGAGCGGTTTCTGTAGGGAACAATTGCTCTGCAAGGAGATGCAATTTTCATTTTGGGTGATGGAGGAGGGGTGGGGGTGTTCTGTTCAGGAGATTTATGTGGAGGGAGTTCTGGTGGGGGGGTTTCTGTGCTGGTGGAAGGTGAGGGAATATGTGGTTCTGTTGGAATAAAAACAGAAGGGATTGGAGAGTTTACCTCAATGATGTTGTCCACGAGCAAGGAAGCCCTCCATTCCTTGATTTGCTCCATCATTGCTTGTGTGACACCCCAAAAATTTAAATAAAAATAAAAATAATTTTTAGCCAGATAAATCATAAAATATTACGGAAATGACATTTTAATTATTAATTGAGTCAGACAAGAAAAAAAAAATTCAACAGTTGTAACATTCTAATCAGATAAAAAATTTCAAAATTTATGACGTCTTAGTCAGATAAAAATATTTCAGTAATAGGAACAACATTTTATGAAACAAGTGAACCAGACAGAAAATTAACAATTGTGACATTTTTAGTCAGATAAAAATGGTCCAATAAAAGAAGTAATATTTTATATCAAGTACCAATTATACATATGACATAAGAAGTAAAAGCTATATTTTATTTTTACAAAACACAATTCCCATTTTTACTCCTAAATATATAATACTATACGTATATTACTATACGTTAAAGAAACTAGATTTTCTTTTAAAACTTACGTATCAGTTACAAACCATCAAGAAGGAAATTCTTTTTTTAAAAAAAAATTTATGGAGAAGATCCTCCAACGTATGAGACGTTCAAAAAGAAAAAAAAAATCTTAGGAGCAGGATTTTAGGATCTGAATCAGAAG